GGGGGGGGGGGGGGGGGGAATTAGTTTGTAATTCTGTCCTCTAAAGGCATAGCCTAGGGAACCCCAGAGCAAGACGGTTAGGTGGACTAGCAATATTAGTGAGCTCTGGGTTTGACTGAAGGAATCCACCTCAATAAATAAGGTGGAAGAATGAAGGATTATTCCTACCATGGTCCTCTGCACTCCACATGCACACACACACACACACACACACACACACACACACACACACGCAGAGGTCAGCAAACCATGTATACAAACATTCACACCACAGATACACACATGGGGGGAGGAAAATTCCTTTAATGTATTTTGTATTATTTTCATAAATTCTCCCCACCGATTCAACTTTAATAAAATCATTACTTTGTATTTGTATTTTTATAGATCTTTCACATCTAAGCATAATGAACAATGCTGAGTCCAAGTTACACTGCCATGGACGTCATCCTGATGCTGCCCCCTCAGGGAGTGTCAACAGCTCATAGCCTAAGACTCAAACAGGAAAGGCAAAGAAAGCAGTTAATAAGTACGTCGAGTGTACAGCATCTGATTATTTTCTCCAAATAACCTCACATTTGCAGTAGAAAAAATAATCACTGTTACTTCTAATAAAGGTCTCACCATATTATTTTAATCATCAACACTTGAACACAATTATAATTGCATTGAAAAGTGATACCTATTTTGTTATGGCATTAGAATTCATGTAAGGGGCAGCAACACAAATACAGAAATTGGCAATTACTAAAGTAGGAAAGCATTAGCTTCCTATTCTCTTAGATGTTTCATTATGCACATCGCCTATACATTCAGAAAGGACTTAAGTCAATTTGTCTGAATTTCAAATATTTTTGTACAGCTGTTTTATGAGAAAATAAATTCCAATCCTCCATACTTTTAAATTGTTTTAGCCTCTCATAAGTTTGAGAGAAAAAAAAAAACCCTGCTAACATTTTCATCCATTTAAAATTAACATGGCAGATTTCCAAATGCTGGGAATTGAAAAGTGCCTGTTCCCAGCACATGGTCTCAACCATCTGCTCTGACCATCCGGATAAGGTCCAGACATCACCTCCAATGTGTTATTAAAAAGTCAAAGTGGTTCTGGGATGGACGTAATTTTTTTCCAGCATTTTACACGTGATGAATGAGCTATAGCTTTTCCAAACAAGGAACCTGCTGACTGCATGCACGTAGGCACTTATCTTCGGCTCTATATTCAACTGTGCGTGTTTACATTTGTCCACTCGGCACCCTCCCTGCTCCCATCTCCATCAAGCACATGTAGCCCCCTCATACACACACCCCACATACAAATGTAAACTTGCCTCGGGGAGCTTGAACCACAACATGCCCAGGAACACAAAAGGCTTGGTACTCTTTCAAACTGACAGTGTAATACATTCTACACTAACTAGAATTAGGGACATTTTATTTCCCCCATGAGAACACAGAGTTAATTCACACACTGATTAATTATCATGCTCTTATTTGCTTCAAACTTCTTCATTTCACATTTTTTTTAAGCTTTGCTTTGTGGGACAGCATTAGCTACTCATAGGAGGGCACAGGCACCTCACATAGATGAGGCTGCAAAGGTATAAAACAGATGTCAAACTTCTTTTTCTCTTTGCCTTTCAAATTGAAATACTCCCCCACAAGTCCACAGTCTTATCATTCAATTCATTCTTTTCATTTAGGATCCACCAGAACAGGCAAATTCTTAGAAAACAAAGTAACAATTTTCCAATGTTGATGTTAAAAATAAATCATTCATTGCCAAAGAACAAACCTCCATAAAACACTAATCAGCATAAGTATTTCAGCCGAGAGTAAGTTGTCAAGTTGAAACAATATTAAAGTAGGACAGGGAAGCTTGCTGTAATACTGTGGAAAATACTCGAAAGACAGAGTTCAACATTGCCAGTCATTTTTAAACCACTATAAAATACTCAATGGAAACGGTTCAACAAGGGTGAAAACACAGTTATTTCTTCCTACCCCTTGGAAGACTTTACGAAATGCTGTTTTGTAATTATCTGAGTGATATATATGAGAAACTGAGTTAGAAGGTACTTTGTTTCCCTATTGTGATCAGAAATGCTTCAGCTAAGGAGGCCCAGGACACCGCACTGTGGCTCTACACACACACACACACACACACACACACACACACACACACACACACACACACACTCACTCACTCAAATCCATCTGCCAGGCATCAAGAATTGCAACAGTTAGAATAATCCTGCAGTGTAAATGTTTAAATGTTAAATGCCAGACATACACGGAAGGATTTGAAGAGAGAATCTTGCAAACATGACTCTGTCACACATCTGGTTTGGTCTCCTCTGGATGTCTAAATGCAACCATCATTTCAGATTTACTTTATAATGAGAGAAATCAAGTCACAACCCACGTACTCTCCAGGGGTTACTTAAATGATGCAGACAACCCACACTACTCCCTGAAGGACAGCTAACTCTCCAACCTTATTAGCAACACACAATTCTTACATTTTAAGTATCTTAAGTCAGTGATTTTTAGAAACTTGGGGAAAACCATGTAATTCAACCGATTTCAACAGAGCAAGAAAAATCTTCAATCATTGTTCTCATGTATTCTAGCAATGCTTGTTGGGCAAAGCCATATTGCACAATAATGCTGGCAACCACAGGCTGGGCTTAACAATCAGTGACATGTACAGTCTGGGAAACATATACGCCTTCCAGAAGCTGGAAGCCTTACGTGGAGGCCTAGGCTTGTCCCTGGCAGGTACATCACTCTTTTTCATGTCTTCCAGCAATGTTTGCCTTCCAACCTGCTAATGCACTGATGTCATAAAGAAAGATACTCTGCCTGCTTTCCCACTGTCTGGCAGCACAGTCAAAATGTTTTTTTTTTTCCTTTTCCTTTTTGCTAATTCTGTCCTTTGTATCTAAGCAGTCATGGTCATCTTTACATATGACTGGTAGTGCTACAATATTAAAGAGTTCTTAGAAATGTGTTTCATGGGCAGAGTTAATGAGGGGTGAACACTGGAAAGGAAGTCAGATGAAAGTCATTTCAACTGCTCTAGAAGCTGGCCTCTAAACATCGCCAGGAAGGCTAGACAGTTGCTCTGAATAAGATGTGCTTAGCTAGTGAAGGAGACCAGACTACCTGACAGGAAGGGATTTTAGGAAAGAAATCACAGATTTACCTCACAGGGACTGCACTAGGCTCACAGTGCCTTAGCAAAGCTTTCCCACTTGATTGAGAAGATGGGAGAGCTGCAGAAGATCCTCAGTGGCAGAGTGTTTTGCCTTTCTACCATGCCTTAGGTCCTGGATTCAACTTCTAAGACCACACATGAGAAAATGGAGAAATTAGAAGTGGAATTGGATTATCACTCATAGTTAGACAGACAGACAGATACATAGATTTAAGTGAACAGAAAGAAGGTAACTGGTAGCTTAACAACTGCTATTAGATACAAAGAGAAGGTTGTGTTGTTATTTTTTCAAAAAATGTTTAGAAATAAAATTTTGGGAATTTTCTTTTTAAAAAGAGACATAAGATTTTATGACGCTTGAAAAGTTGTCTAAGAATTATTTGAAATTTAGACTTTTAAACTAATGCATTTCCTTGGAGCAAGTTGTATAAAAACTTTGATCTGCTAACCAAATAATTCTCAGAAATTCTTGTTCCTGTATTTCTCACTGAGATTTTAAAGCCATGATTCACAAAATAAATTAGCTACATTGACTAACTGTGCTGTCTACCAGACCATAGAACTAGGTTCATAGACAGGATGCAGAGAACACTCATGTTATGTCACTTATGCCTAGCTCTACAATGCCATCAATAAAGCTAACTCATGGTGAATCTATGTATCTGAGCAATTAAATGTTAATTTAGTTTCTGGGGAGATGGTTAAGAGTGTCTGCTGCTCTCGCAGAGGACCAGATTTGGGTTCCTAAAACCTATGACAGGTAGCTGGCAACCACCTGTAAATACTGCAATTCCAGATCTGATGTCCTCATAGGGCCTCCTTGGGAATCCATATACATTTGTATGCACACACCATCACACATCCTTATAAATAAAAGTAAGTATTTTTTTTACAAATAAGAATTTGTATTACTTCTTTGAGAATTTCATATATTGTGCTTTGATCAAATTCACTCCCTCCACACTCTTCCCAGATCCACTGCCCCTCCATTAGCAACTATATTTTGTCTTTTTTGTTTTGTTTGCTTCCATCGATCCAGTCCAATCTGTGCTGCCCAAGTATTCTTGGATGTGTGACCTTCTCTAGTGTATGGTTGAATTACCAGGGCAACACTCTTAAAGAAAACCGACCCTCCCTCTCTCAGCAGCTATCAACTGCCAGGACTGAGACTGGCATGTCCACTTCCCTTCTCCACACTAGATTAGGTCTATGCTGACAGAGTATCCCTCGATGTGGAATGGGCTCCCAAAGTCTATTCATATAGTTGGGATAAATATTGATCTACTACCAGATGCCCAGACCTCCAAACTGACATCCTCGTTCAGGAGGTCTGGATCAGTCCTATGCTGGTTTCCCAGCCATCAGTCTGGGGTCCCTGAGCTCCCCCTTGTTCAGGTCAGCTGTTTCTGTGGGTTTCTCCAGCCTGGTCTTGACCCCTTTGCTCATCACTCCTCCCTCTCTGCAACTGGATTCCAGAGTTCAGCTCAGTACTTAGCTATGGGTGTCTGCTTCTGCTTCCACCAGCTACTGGATGAAAGCTCTCATTTAAGGTAGCCTCTCAACTATTGCTTAGATTGTTAGTTGCGGTCAAACTTGTAGATCTCTGGACATTTCCATGGTGCCAGTATTCTCTTTAAACCTATAATGGCTCCCTTTATTATGGTATCTCTTTTCTTGCTCTCCCCTATTCTTCCCATGACTAAAACTTCCTGCTCTCTCATGTCCTCATCTCTCCTCTTCTCCCCTTCTCTTTCTCCTAGCTCCCTCTCTCCTCCCCCCATGCTCCCAACTAGCTCAGAAGATCTTGCCCTTTCCCCTTCTCTGGGGGACCATGTATGTCTGTCTTAGGGTCCTCCTTGTTTCCTAGCTTCTATGGAGGTGTGGATTGTAGGCTGGTACTCCTTTGCTCTAAACCTAAAATCCATATATGAGTGATACATACCATTTTTGTCTTTTTGTGACTGGGTTACCTCACTCAGGATGGCTTCTTCTAGTTCCATCCATTTTCCTGAGAATTTCAAGATTCCACTGAATAACAATATTTTAAACACATTATATTAAGGTACGGTTTAAGAAGTTCAACATAACTGACAAATCTTTATCTGAACACATTATAGTAAAGGTACGGTTTAAGAAGTTCAACATAACTGACAAATCTTTATCTGAACTAAGGAAAAAAAGATACAACATCGAAAAGAAAAGTATTTTAAGGGAAGCTAAAGAAATTAAAAGGTGAAGAGGCTATTATGATATACCAATGAAACAATATTAGAGAAAAAGATGAATTCCTAGAAGTACATAACCTACAAAAATAATTAAAAATAAAAAAGCCAGTGAGAAGGTTTAGCAGATGGGATCATCTGACAGTATAAGTTTGATTCCCAGGATCCACATGGTGGAAGGAAAGAACTGAACGCTATCCTCTGGCCTTCATATCCACATTGTGGTGCATGTACACATAACACACACACACACACACACACACACACACACACACACACCAATAAGTTAAAACGTAATATTTTTTTAAAGATAGAGAAAACTCTAAACAGAAAAAAAAGTGAGATTGGAAAGCCCAGAAATTTTTAAAGTTACATATATATACTGAGTGAAATGCCAAATAATGGAGGAGACAGAGCCACAACTAGATATCTCTTGTCAACAACTGAAGTTTCCATAACCAGGAATGGGTTACTCCTGAGTTCTAAACAATCCAGGCTGTTGCCAAGACTATAGGTACTCTCCAAACCCAACAGCAAGGTCCTATTGCTGAAGACATCATCTACACAAACTCATTGAACATGGAGAAGTTCATGGAGCCTCCACCCCTATTTGGTATGCATTTTGGTACAGGAGGGCAGTTTTCATGCTACCAAAAAAGGTACATAAACAGCAACCAGCTACAAACCCTCTGATCAACAGTAGTTCCCTGCCTGTAAGATACGCTACTGCAGGACACATATCTGAAGTGCTTCATTTCTTTAAACAAATTTTTTTTCATTTGCACATATTTGACAATATTCCTGCATATGTGTGTATGTTCACCACATGTATGTAGGATGCCAATAGAAGGCATCAGACTCCCTGGAACTGGAGTTACAGGCAGTTTTGAGCTGCCATACGGGTGCTGGGAGCTGAAGCCAAGTCTTCTGCAAGACTGGCCGGTGCTCTCAAGTGCTGAGCCATTTCTCTAGCCCCTGGGGTGCATCTCCTGTAATACACCAATTTGCAGATTTTAAAATCTACCCTGTCATTAGATGGCATACACTGCTTGAATTTACTCTGCTTACTATTGTGTTTGGTTATAGTTTACCATCTAATTCTTTCTTTTTTAAATTCTCTTTTCTTAGTATATGTGTTTTTCAAGTGGGTGAAATGCTGAATTCCAAGTTGTCTGAATTTTTTTCTTTGCACAGTTTTTAGTGCATGCTCTGGGTACTACAGATATGTGTGCACGTAACTTTTATAGTCTTATTAGTGCCATTTTATTAACTCTGGTGAAGTAGCAAAAACTTATTCATCTTAGTATATTTTTAATTTCCCATTTAAAATAAACTCAACAAGCTTCCATATTCTCTTAGACTGACATAATATAGTACTGTCATCGTCATTTCAACCACCAAACATAAATTATAAGACTCAGAAGTAAAGGGGATGCCTACAGCATTTAGTCTTGTTTTTGCTGACTGTTCATCGTTCCTTCCTGGCTTCCCAGCTTCCTTTCTTTCACTGTTTCCATCTTGTTCAGAGAGAACTTTCTCTAGCTGTGTCTCTAGGCCAGATCTGCTATTACTTCCTGATGGCTATTTTATTGGCTTCACCTTATAAAATGATCCCTTTTTGATTCTTCCTCTCAGCATTTGACACATATGGTGCCACTTCCCCTTTGTTTTCCATCAT